CACCTCCCAGTGTTGCTTATGTGCCAGCATATTGGAAGAGTCACAGGCAAAACATTGACTTCAACCCACACTCTCCTTCCTAATGAAGCTCACCATAATGGTGAATCAACTGAAAACATGTAAGCTGAGCCCATGCCTAAAACAACTGGAAGTTTTGTGTCCTCAAATAAACAAGTAACACGGAACACTAAGATTTCACCTGTGGGATGTATTCAACCTGTTTTTTAAAGGCTTAATAATTACAGATTTCTGGAGTATTAAGGAAATTCCAGCTAACACTCAGCCTTCTGCCAAATAATACTTCATCAGTTGAAAAAAAAAAAATATGGGTGCAACTCTGTTTTCATTTAAGCCAGCTGGAAATTTACCATGAACTTCAGTGGGCCGAGGAAAGTCCATGATCATTTAAGTGGTTAAATAGCTTCAGTGAGCTTTGAATTTTCACCAGTGAATGAATTTGAGACAATTCCAAACAATCAAATAATAAAAAGTGGATCTTTGACTAAATTAATGGTACAATAACTAAAATCATTGCTTTTCATGGGATAAATTAAAAACTATTATTATATTAGTAGTAAACAAAATGTCTTTTACAAAGCAACTGTTATGGATATCTTCTGAGGTAAACAAAAAATTTGATAAGACAAAAGAGTTCTACTTAGTACACTATTCATAGGTGTACCGGTTGAATAAATTTATGTTCATATTTTTGCCACATCTTTAACAGTTATGAACAAGCTTATTTTGTGTTTGCATATCCTCTAGAGCTCCACACTGCTAAAATCCCTATTGCTTTTGTGTATTTGAAATACATTTATGTCCTTATGGATTACCAATAACCATATTTCTTTTTCTTACAGCACTTATGCACTGAACATTTCTCATTATTTCTAGTACTGCTACTGCATACATTACTTTTAAAAGGCAATTCCACCCATTGCATATGTTACTCTTACACTCTTACATTATTAACACTTCATAATGATATCTTACCATAACCCTCAATCATGTACCTTAACATATATGGAGTTTGGAAATAATATTGAAGCTGTTATATTTCTGTTTATGAGCACTGGCATTCTTAAGCAACATGCAGTTGAAGCACATTTTCAGTCTACTGATGTGCTGCACTGGCTAAGAAACTTTGCTGATCTAATAAGGAGATGGGAACAACATTTGATGTCAGTGACCCATGAAGTTTCCATACAAGTTTGACATATCAGAGAGATGACAGTATGAGACAAACCTCCTGTTGGAGAAGTTGTAAAAGCCAGCACACACACATACACACACAATTTGTCTGTTCATCCCCTCTTCTGTATTTTATAGATTGACACACTGTGTCAATTTAAAGACCATCTATGATCTTCATTAGGAAAGGAATGTGGATTATTTTGCTGGGGCATGTCTTCCTGTGTTACATGAATCTGCATGCCAGTGGCTTTCATTCTGCACACAGAACCATGGTTATTTTATGTTATCCCAATATCTGTGCTGGATATTCAGCTGTGTTGGCGTTTTATCTCCAGTGAAGTTATCACTCTGAGCCAAACCAGGATTCCTTTAATCAGTACAGTAAATTGAAATTCTGCTAGAAAGGAAATAAGGTGAAACTTTTAGGATTTGGCTGTGCTATTATACAAAGACTTCCAAATATGTGAGTTTAGTGTGCTTCAGCCAACACCCTCCACACCAAATAGCAAGGTGCTGGTGTATAATAAATTTTTAATTTTACATAAATATGTACAATAAAAATTGTAATTTTATTACAAATTCAGATCTCAATCACAACGTCACTGAAGTTAATGTGACTTGGACTGTTAATCTGAGTGAGAGTGGAACTGACCCTTGTATTCTTCTTTTGTTCTGCATTGAATACTGTTACATAGGTTGACAGGGAACTTTGCCACAAGTAAGCCACAAAACATGTAGCAACTGTTTATGTATCATTATGTATGTTTAAAATAATTCATATCTATAAAGACAGCTTTTTTCCCTACCAGTTACTCAAAAAGACATGAATAGAAAAGGCCTATTAATAATGATATATTCCTACTGAAATTAAATATTTTCATATTTAAAAAACTGGTAAAATAGAAGATTTATAGAATTTTTATCATGAAGATACTACTGCATTTCTACAGTACTTTGGAATACTACAGTCATTCACAGTTGCCACAAAAATGCTAGATGAAGAAAGCCTGAAGTAGTAAGGAGGTCACAGAGTATCCTATTTTTAATTCAGACATTTTTATAACTTAAAGATCTATTTAAAACTCAAAAAATAATGTGTGCTTAAAAAAAAAAAAAAAAACAAAAACAAACAAAAAAAAACCCCAACCTGTCCAGGTTGGAATCACAACTATTATTTTCTTGCAGTAGAACAAAATGTTTCTGAATGTTTTCACTGCATTTGTCATTACTATGAGAAAGTAGCCCCTCTCCCAACAATACCATGTACTAAAATGAACAATACAAACACTCAGTGCCAGGGAAGCCTCCACTTGACCTCCTTCTCCTCTGGTTTACCTGGAAGCTTCTGGTTTGCTTTGAAATTCACCCAGTAGAAGGTAAGTTGACTGAAAAAACCTTCTAGTCAGGACGTGGTGAAAAACAACACATGTACACAGTCTCTCTTTATCTCAACTAAATGAGAAGTCCTTTCTTTAAATTATTTTTCTGGTAGAGACTAACTGGTACATAGCGGTTGTAGTCAGACAATCAGCATAGACTGACTCAGCTACACTATAGAAACAGCTAAATACAGAATGATTTGTTTTAAGACAAAAAAAATAAATATGCAAACCAATTTATTAACACTGAGAATCATTAAACAGAAGGCTGATTTGTTTCAGAGAACTGATAACTAGGGTTGATAAGGAGAGAAAATTCATCTCCCAGAATATGCATGCTCACATAAGTTGCTTGATCTATGGAAGAATTCAAAAATCATCTTCTCCTCATGAGGGAAATTGAAAATTTCTTTGCTCTGCTTGGTATAATTGTCACTAGTAAATTTAATCACTGCAAACTTAATGTGCTCAGGAAAACTTGTGATGGGATGATTAGTAAAATTCTTTCCAGAGGAACGTGCTACAGTCAAGAATTAATCAGGAAACTGGGGGCATAACTTTGTAAGGTAGTGTCCAAAAGTATTTGCATGCAAATAGGAGAAACAGTATCTGTATACTACTTATATTTTTTAATATATGTTATTTTATTATTTGCCATAATGCATAGACAGATAATATATTATCTGTTATTTGTCAGAATGCACATTTGATTAAGAAATGTGGGAATCAAAGACAGGCTTTAGGGTGAATTGGTCTGTTGAGTCTATTTTTTCTTTATGTTTAGCTTCTGACTTCTTGGTTTCAGTGAACTTGTCATCTGTGATAAGCAAATGATGTGACAGACATTGCACAGTCACTGCTTTGGACCTCTCTTCAGCTGGGTCCTCCACTGATTTGAGGAGTTATGCAGACTTCCTCAACTAATATTTCACCTTGCTGTCCACTCAGCTCTGGTAGCTGGTATTAAAAGACACATCTCAGTACCCCTCAGGGACAGAAGAACACTGGGAATTAATTAAACCTAGCAGTTCAATCTCTACAAACTTGCTACAAACTAATGAAATTACTTGGTCAAGAAATGGCAGACTTGTGCTACACTTAAGCTCCTCTAATGTTAGTTTCAAACACCTAAGGTAACAAAAAGACACTTCAAGAAAGACTTGTTATTTTGAGAATCTCCAATAAAATCTCTGATAAAACTGTGGCGTTGTATTAATGTTTAGGCAAGTTGTACCATCACATGTCAGACAGTGGTGAAAAAAGTCAAAGGTAAAAGATTATACACTTTCCTTTATTTGACCTTTGTTAATGTAAATCTTTGTTACAAGTTCTGTATTGATATAATTCTTAATGAAAATTTATTCAATTCACAATGGATACTTTGTGCTGATTAGAAGTATTACCTTCTTTGCTGCTATTTATAACTCAGCTAACGATTTTTTTGGGGTGAACAGCTTCTTATTTATCTTCAGATGCTTTCCTTGACAGGGACAAAGCCAGGACAAAAAAGGTCTTCATTGTTCCTTTTGCTTCAAGGCAAAAATATGGGCCTGCTTTCTGTAAAAGGTTCCACTCACCCAGTGAATGGATATCATATGTGTGGGCCATATTTTTCATGTAACAGGTTTTCCCTGTAATTTTGCATATTACAGTAAAAAAAACACTATCCATTGCTCAGCTATTTTAAATACTAATGTACCTGGTTTAAAATAGTGTATCACTATTCTAGTTTTATTAAAATACCCTGCTATATAACTACACCCCTGTTTACAGTAGTTTCAGGACAGCCATGTTTTGGAATAGTTTTAAAATCAGATGAATCATCAGTTCTCCTGAGAAGCAGTGTTCTGCAATAAGCTGCTGGCTCTTTGCCCTGTAGGCAGGCATCTTCTAATAAAAACATTAGGACAGTTCCTATCCCTCTGTCATATTACAAAAGTAATGAGTTCTTTTCAGTAACTTTACAAAGCCCATAAGACATGACACAGCAAATCCTTCCTATTTTAATTTAGGCAGTGAGGTTTCAACCTCTGATATAGATAGGTATTTGCAGGGTCACACATGCAAAGGGAAAGTGTCAGCCTTACATTGGATTACTGAGTGTAAGTTGTAGAGTGTGTTTGCCCTATGCTAGACAATCATGTGGAAATGTCTTCAATTACTTGGTGTGAAGGTCTAGTGTTCCTGTTCCTGTAAGGTATGTATTATCATGTTTCTCTTCACCACTATAATACACTAAAATTACAATGAGCCCATTGAGCTTTTACATATGAAAATATTTTCATAATGGCCATATGGCTATTTACAAATTTCTGGTAACAGTAGCAGTGACACATTTGTAACAGGATGACCCAGTGTAATTCCATCAAATTACAAAAAAAGTACAATGGAAACATGACACAAATTTAGTAGTAAAGGTGTGCTTACCTTCATATGTCCCGCTTTCTAAGAGAGCACCACTTTTCTCCAATTCCATAAAATCTTCAACAGTGATGAAAATATAGTCCACACCAGGAACTTCCCCCTCCTTATGTGGCCTTGTGGTGCCTATTAATAAGATAAAAGACACACTGTCAAGCACATGGCCTAAATGTGGAATGATCTTTTTGAAATCTTTGGAAAATTCACAAAGTACATCATTTACATAATATCTTATATAGCATATCTGCCTTGTGAGGATGTCTTTCAAAACAATATAGCTACATTTGTTGAAGCTGGTAGAGGTATATGAGATATATGTTTATGATCATGCCAGACATTTCTTGGATCCATGTCATTTATCCTCTCTAATGAAAACCTGTCATGCTGTTCTTCTTACATCACTAGAAAGGCCCTCAGTAACATTAGCATTCAGAGGTAACACAAAACATAGTCTTGTCTATAATTAATCTACTTCATGATATTTTAGACATTTATTTAGTATACAAAATAATAATTCTATAAGTAAATCTGTAAGGGTTATGTTCATATTGCTGGTTTCAGAGCCATAAGTGGACTTGGCCAATGGTTAGAGTTTAGGGCCTGTCGGATTACAATCACCTGCTAATCATGCTGTCAAATTGCAAAGGTGTTTATATTTAGTTATTGCCTCTATTATCACCTCTGGATGACAGAACTCTGTATATGCTGACAAACAATACTTCATGCTGAGAAGTGACTTGGCTTAGATAGCAGAAGTAATGGAATATAGAAGGGAAGTTAGCAGGGAAGCATCTGAAATTGACCTGACTTCCTAATGGTCTACTTTATCGTTGTCAGGCTATCCCTGCTTTGATTGAAACCACTAAAGAAGTCTCAAAAGTCCATTTGGAAACAAGAGACTTTTAGGTTTTCCTCAGTCTCAAAGAGTTTGAAACATCTTAGTCAATCAATTCTTTATCAATAGCATACAGATTAAATCATGCAAGCAGGGTTTGGTTTGAAGACTAGGCAGTGGCTAGAAATCAGATCTTCCACTTTCTGGACAAAAGCTTAACATTATAATAATTGTGCAAAAGCTGTTGTCTCTTCCTCAGTTATTAATCCATCACCTTAAACACTGTATTGTGACTCTCCCTTGCATTGCCCTAAATGCACAAAATTATTATTTCCACTGACCAAAATGCAGCTGTCCTAATCTCATGTTGAATCCCATTCACTCTATATCTTGATGTAAAGGAGACCTCTGTGCCACAAAGAGCACATTAGCAGTGCCAAGGTTCTCTCAGTGGCAATGACAGGACTCCCATGCTATCAGTGATTCCCACTGGCCAGTGCTCAGCTTTGCCAAAGCTGATGGCCTTCAGAGCTGTCCAACCTCCTTGCTGCTAATTGGACACACGGGGACATAAAAGTGCACGAGACAGGTTTACTCAATTGTTTGTCATAGAGACCTTTTTCTTCTGACAGACAGCCTGAATATCTACGGCAGGACTGAACGAGCCCGCAAAGCTAGTATTTTGGTAGCTAACATGGGAATGTATTTTGATAAGTCTGTAAGGCTCTTTCCCTCCTTTCTCTGATTCATACTCCCTTCTCATCTCACCATTTAAAGCAAAAACTCATCTGCCTGTTTATTTCTGTAAATTTTGTATTTGCAGAAATGGGTGCTTTAGGATTATTCCCTGGAGTACTTTGTCCATCTGGAGTACTGTGTGCAGTTCTGGGCAGTTTTAGGTTCAAGTACCTGGGCAGTACAAGAGAGATGTGGAGCTCCTGGAGTGAGTACAATGGAGGGTAAGAAGAATGACTGGGGGACCGGAGCATCCCTCTTATGAGGAAGGGCTGAGGGAGTTTGGCCTGTTCAGCCTTGAGAAGACGTGACTAAGAGGGGAACTCATTATGTGTATAGATATCTGAAGGGGGGATGCCAAAAGGATGGTCCAGGCTCTTCTCTGTGGTGCCAACCACTAGGACATGAGGCAATGGGCAGAAACTGATGCAAAGGAAGTTCCACCTGAAAATGAGGAAGAACTTCACTGTGTGAGTGGTCACACACTGGAACAGAGTGACCTTTGTCATGGAGTCTCTCTCACTGGAAATATTCATGAACCTTCTGGATGCAATCCTGTTACATGTGCTCTAGGATGACCCTGCTTGAGCAGGCAGGTTAGACCAGATGTGGAACCTTCCAACCTGACCCATTCTGTGAATCTGTGATTCTGTGATCACTATTGTGTTTCAGAGATGGTATGGTTAAAGGACTCAGACACTTGGATTGTCCATAAACACGCTGAATTTACTTCCCATGGATCATCTGACCCCTGAGGATGCAGCAGCATCCCCAGTGATCTCCAGCCCTTTGAGAGAACTGTGTAGAAGCACAGGGATTCTGCTGAGCCCCTGAACTCCTGGGAGCTCTGCTAACAGCACATCCATCAGATGTTTGATCTGCATGCTCTCTCCTGAGAAACTTTTCACTCTCAAAGTGAAAAATTGCTATTGACAGGAACTGTATCTCCCTCATAAAACACTTCAGCAAATCAAGGTTGTGCTACTCCCAGATATGGCACAGAAAAGAAGCTGGCATATTAGGTGAGTATCTCTAGTTTACTGTTTCTTCAATACTTTTTTAGGTAGCCAAACTAGGATTATCAGAAGTTTATCAATCAGACAAAAATACAAGTTACACAAAATGCAGAGGTAAACTCTGCTTTGAGTGGAAAGTTGAACCAGATGAGCTAGTGAGCTCCCTCACAATCTAAATTTTCAATTATTCCATGCTATTAAGTGTTAATACACTTTAGTTTGCTTTAAACACATAGATATTCAGCAGTCATTCATAGGGATGATTGCAAAATTGCAAAATTTGGTCACACCTGCTATGTCTATCCTACAACACCAGGAGATAACACTGTCACTTGGGTGGCAACATGGAAAGTTTCACCCTCTTTTCTCATAATCCTCAGGGAATCTGCTCCAAGAGCTCTGCACGGTATTTTATACTGAGGGTTGTACATCTATTAGAGATTGAATAGTCACCTCCTTCAAAAAAACAGAGAAAGGAGTAAACCATGATCAATAATTGGCTGAGTTCAGGGTGACTCTTACCCCAGGTATAGCAGTTTGTTTCCACTCCCAGCAGAACTTTATGCCTCTAGATAAAATCTTACTGAATCCCATTTCTCTCCTGCATCTGTTCTCATTCCCTCAGCCTGGAAGATCAGAGATTTTGGAAATGGTTAAAGCAATTCCTTGGCTAATGGAATAATCAATGGTTATTGCCTTTTACTCCTTTACCCTGGAGGAACTGAGTTCTTGCTAATAATACTTCTATCATCCTTTATAGTCTTCTGTAAGCACCATAGAGTTTGCAATGTGCAGATTTAAAGACTTGGACACAGTTACTAGAGCATTTTAAACACCCATCAAGGTCTGAACATTGAGATCTATATACTGGAATCTTATAGATCATAGGCAAATTTTCTTTTTTCTTGCTTTTAACCTAATGTAGAGTTACACCTCTTAATAGATTTTGTCTTTAACTACATTCATATAGACAGAAAAACAGGTATGAAACCTATGGTGATTCAAGACTTAAACCAAAGGATTCATTCCAAGCCTCATATTTCTACAAAAACACAACACCCCTTGTTATGCAGTATCAAGGCTTAATAGGTAGGACACACTTGCTACTGTGTACAATATTTAGCCTTTTATTAATGTAAAATAAAAATAGGAATCCAGTTACCACTTTGTTACCATGGTAACCTAGGGAAAAAAATCTTTGAATTCCATAATGAAAGAACACGATACTTATAGATTTTTCAGGATTGAAACAAGCAAGGATATTTGCACTATGCATACTTATGATAAATGTAATGTATTGTTATTGTTGAAGACACAAAATGAGTAGCTTGCAAGTAACCATGACCAGTCCACTCAAGCAAGTGCTGTCACACAACGTGAAGGTACCTCAGAAACTAAAGGATCTTGGTCTGCAAAATCTGGACTGATCTTGACCTTTGATTTCATGACCACTATCTGCAACATTCATCAATCCGCTCTCAAAGCCAATATTAAGGGTGTTCAGTGAGCCACCACTTTGTTGGGATTTATAGCTTTGAGATGGATAGCTTGTACAGTTTAGAGATATTTAAGCTACATTCTCTATCTTCTTTTTCTTATTATTTTTTAAAAAGACCCTTTGCAGTTTGTTTCTTCTGTTCTACAGGGGAAATATGGTGATTCACTATACTTCAGTGCAGGCTTTCCATGCTCATTGCTGTGTTGTATGATGGTGCTATATTCCAGGAGAGGAATTAGGTGCTGTTTACACAAACAGCCTTTGAAAGAGTATTTTCTTTTTAACTGAGTTTTAAGGCACCTGAGGGTGCCTTAGACACCTAAGAAATCTTTACAATGAATAAAGAGTGTGTTAATTTCATAGCAGTAAACTATTTTTGAAATACTGCTTATATGAGCTTGGGGAACAATAAATAACATGGAATTTTTATGTTGACTGCTAGTGTAGATTGGAAAAATGGTCAGTCCATGCAGTGTTCAGACAAGATTCCCATTATGAGTAAAAAAGTATAGAATTATTGATTCTAGAAGAGCTCCAGGGTTGGAAAGCTCCACACCAGTTTGTACAGGTAGAACAACTAGGAATTTACCTGTGTCTTTTTAATCTCAGCATCCAGTTACAGATTTACATCATTTTAGTGCTTATTTGGGAACAAGGTGCACAGTTTGACTTTGAAAATATTTCTTCTTAGAAGCACTGAGCCTTCACAGTTTCTGTCCAGCTCTGTTACTTTCAAAAGCAGGAAGGGTACTGCCTCTATATTTCTTTATTGCTAACTCCATGTAGTTATGGAAAAAGAAAGCGGCAATTTTTTTTATTGCTCAGCATAGGAATGTCATGAATGTCAGTTAAAACTCTCAGAATTACGACAGGTAAGACTCAGAAAGGTGTTCTGTGCTCATTACCATAGACACATTTTAAAGAACACTTAATCCTTTGCACAGTAAATAATCCACATTTTACAGTCTTTAGAAGCATCACAAGGATAATACTGCACTAGTACTGTTCCTGTACAGTCTATACAATGGTCAGGAAAATAGAA